TTTATTTATTTATTTATTTATTTATTTATTTATTTATTTGGTTTTTTCGAGACAGGGTTTCTCTGTGTAGCTTTGCGCCTTTCCTGGGACTAACTTGGTAGCCCAGGCTGGCCTCGAACTCACAAAGATCCACCTGGCTCTGCCTCCCAAGTGCTGGGATTAAAGGCGTGCGCCACCACCGCCCGGCTGACAACTTTATTTATTAACATACAATCAAAATAATAATTCAGTACAATTAGATTACCACCACAAGGTAGTGGTGGCATATGCCTATAATCCCAGCACTCAGGAGGCTGAGGGTCTCTGTGAGTTTGAGGCCAGCCTGGTCTACAGAGCAAGTTCCAGGACAGCCAAGGCTGTTGTTATATGGAGAAACACTGTCTCGAAAAACAAAACAACAACAACAACAAAAAAAACACCCTTTGACAGATAACAACAACAACCAAAAAGCCTATCACACAATGGCTCCTCTTGCTGATTATTAATATTTTGGTGTGTTGAAGTGGAGTTTCAACTACAGCTCAGGATGATCCTGTAGAAAAACTCTCCCCTTGGCCTCCTGAGAGCTGGGATTACAACTGTGAGCCATTATGTATGGCTTTATTATTTTTTTGTGTTTTATTTTTTTTCTGCAGCTGAGGACCGAACCCAGGGCCTTGCACTTGCTAGGCAAGCGCTCCACCACTGAGCTAAATCCCCAACCCGGCTTTCTTGATGCTTAACAATTACTGAAAGCACACAATGTGTTAGGCACTGGAAAGGTGGGTCAGATTTGGCTGTGTACGACGGCTGTCCTCTTTGGAGTTTAAATTCTATTGAACAGGCTTGTGCTTCTAGTTAATTCCAGGCCAGGTTCATCTTTCCTGGGCATCTTGTCTGCATGGATGGATCTGATAAGGGTCAAGGTTCTGGATGAAATGACATAAGGTCCATTCTGACTAGTTCCTCTCATGTCTGGTCTCCCAAAAACCATGGCAGTCTACTATAGCTCCGGGTAACATACATTCCCAATTAAGAGATAACTTTTCTGTGTCCTTTGGCAGCTCATATTAGTTAGTACAGCATCCTCTTGAGATATTAAAATGTAAGCTTGTAGAGCTTATTTTCTGTATGAATCCTCAGATGAAGAAAGGCCCCTACTACATTCATCCTCAGCATGGGCTCGCTGGTGAACCAGGAGCCCAGAGCTCCAGCTGAACCCTTTCCCACAAGCCTCACACTTGTACGGTTTCTCTCCAGTGTGGACCCTGTGGTGTGCTTTGAGGTATGAGCTCCAGCTGAAGACTTTCCCACACTCCTCACACTTGTACGGTTTCTCTCCAGTGTGGACCCTGTGGTGGTCTTGGAGGTAGGACCTCTGCCGGAAGCGTTTTCCACACACGTCACATGGGAATGGTTTTTCTCCTGTGTGGACTCCACGATGAGCTAGAAAATTGGATGCCCGACAGAAACCTTTTCCACACTCCTCACATTGATAGGGTCTTTCTCCAGTGTGGGACCTCTGGTGGGCTTGCAGGTGTGACTCTACACTGAAGCCCTTCCCACACTCTGCACACTGATACGGTTTCTCTCCCATGTGGGCTCTCTGATGCACTTGGAGACTTGAAAACTGACTGAAGGCTTTCCCACACTTCTCACATTTATAGGGTTTCTCTACTGTATGGATTCTACAATGAACGTTCAGATCTGAACTCTGACAGAAGCTCTTCCCACATGTAGGAAGAGCTTCTTACATTTGTAGGGTTTCTCGCCAGTGTGGCCTCTCTGATGGGCCAGAAGGTCTGAGGCCTGACTGAAGCCCTTCCCACACGCCTCACATACGTAGGGTTTCTCTCCCATGTGGACTCTAATATGAATGTTAAAATCAGAACTCCGACTGAAGCCCTTCCCACAAGCATCACATTGATACGGCTTCTCTCCAGTGTGTCCTCGCTGATGGTCAAGAAGATTAGAGGCCCCACAGAAGCCTTTCCCACACGCCTCACATTTGTATGGTTTCTCTCCAGTGTGGCTTTTTATCTGATGAGCTTGGAGGTGTGAGCCTACACTGAAGCCCTTCCCACACTCCTCACACTTACAAGGCTTCTTTGCAGCGTGGACTCTGATGGACTTGAAGACACGAGCTTTGACTGAATCTTGCCCCACACTCCTCACAGTTATAGGCCTCATCTCCTGTGTGGACTAACAGGGGTGTCTGACCATGTGAGTCTTTCCCAAGATTCCCACACTCCTCATATTCGTTTGAGTTTTCTTCAGTGGGGACGCTCTGATGATACTGAAATAGTGGCCTTTGACTGAGATTTTTAAACAGTGTGTCAGACTGGGTCGATCTGTGTCTCTGTGGACTCTGATGGGACTGAAGACTGGAGACCCGACGGAAGGTGTTGTCCCAGTTCCACACTTGGAGGGCTTCTCTCCTGGAACGGCAGGAAGATGACAGCTGCAACCAGCATCTTCCTCACATGCCTCTTCTTCGCGGCATTCTCCATGGTGAACTTGAAGAAATGAATTCCTCCTGGAAAGTTTACTGAGCTCCGCTCCTTCGCTCTGCACAGCGTCCTGTTTCCCCAACGCAGAGCCGGTTCCTCCATCCTTCCCCCTGCAGTCTCCACCCTGGGTTAACTCCCTGGTAACTTGTTGCCAGATGCATGAGCAGAAAAGCTCCTCCTGGGGCAGGTGCCTCCATCCTGCCTCCTGAAGGGACTCCTTCTCATTTAGATTCCTGGATCCTAAAAGCATAAAGAGAATTCAGAGAGAGGTAGGGCGTGTGGGTGCTCTGTTCGCTGCTCTTGGGGTTATGTAGTTAAGACCACAGTCTATAGACTACAGCATTCCAAAGGATAGCTCTGTTAACCCTACTGCCTCTAGGTAGGCCCCAGCTCTTAAAAGTTCTTCAGCCTCCCAAGAGTGGCACTAGCTGGACCCAAGCATTCAAAATGTGAACCTACAGAGTATATTTTGGATTTAAACTACAAAATCATAGACGCCCCATACATACTTGGTCCTATTCAGAGTCCAGATTAATTCAGGTTAGTTCTGCAGAGATGTGTTGGGTAATATTATTTTAAACTGTGTTACTTTTGTTTATGTTGCATTTGTTTAACTCTGTGAAGCTGTGTTGCTTTGTCTGTCGAAAACATTTGATGGTCTAATAAGGAACTGAATGGCCAATAGCCAAGCAGGAGAAAGGATAGGCGGAGCTGGCAGGCAGAGAGAATTGATAGAAGGAAAAATCTGAGAAGAAAAAGAGGAAGTAGCCAGAGAAGGAGGAGGGCCCAGGGGCCAGCCACCCAGCTAACAGCCAGCCATGGAGGAAGAGTAAGATTTCCAGAAGTAAGAGAATGGGAAAAGCCCAGAGGCAAAAGATAGACAGGATAACTTAAGATAAATAAAGCTGGCTAGCAACAAGCCAAGCTAAGGCCAGAATTTATAATTAAGAATAAGCCTCGGGGCTGGAGAGATGGCTCAGAGGTTAAGAGCACCGACTGCTCTTCCAGAGGTCCTGAGTTCAATTCCCAACACCCACATGGTGGTTCACAACCATCTGTAATGAGATCTAGTGCCCTCTTCTGTATACATAATAAATAAATCTTAAAAAAAAAAAAAGAATAAGCCTCTGAGTATGATTTATTTGGGAGCTGGGTGGTGGGCCCCCCAAAAGAGCAAAAGCAACCAACAACATTTTGGCATTTCAACATGGGCCTGAATTTCCACATAGGGCTTAAGAAAGCTGAGAAGAAAAAAATGGCTCTTTAAAGAGTTTTTGCCTGCTAGTGAGACCTTGAGCAGCTACTATATTAATTAAGGAACAAAGAACTAAGTAAGAAAAGCCTGCCACTGCACAAGCGCTGGCATTCTAGAACTCTAGGAAGGTTGAATGCAATTCTCAGTCACCTACCTCCACCTGGGCTGTGTGTTTAGGCTTGGCTTTCACAACCTGAGAAGTAGGCAGAGCCAGTCGCCAAAGCCATGGGCAGAGGTCCATGATGCTTCTTAAGTTAAAGTTTGTTCATGTGGTCAAAAAGGCTAAAGGATACACAGTAAAAAAGTCCAGATGGAAACAACCTCTAAATAGGTTCTAGTGTATTTTACAATGTGTGTAGGCTTAAGAAAAGAAAAAAAGGTATATTCATAGAAAAAAAATGAATAGTTTAAATAAATAGTTTTTTTTTTTTTTGAGACAGGGTTTCTCTGTGTAGTTTTGGTGCCTGTCCTGGATCTCACGCTGTAGACCAGGCTGGCCTAGAACTCACAGAGATCCGCCTGGCTCTGCCTCTTGAGTGCTGGGATTAAAGGCATGCACCACCACTGTCCGGCAAAAAATAAAGTCTTTAAAGAGAGAAGTAAAGTAATATAAAAAGGAATAAGCCACATAGAGATGGGAAATATACAGGGAGTCTGAATCCTGTGTGTTATTGTGTCGATTTTGAATTTTTTGTTTGTTGAGAAGCAAAAGACAGCTGCATGGTGGGCATCAAACAAACTCCTTATGGAGTTTGCTTTCAGTGTGGCAAGGCTAGCCATTTGAGCAAGAAGCTGCTCATGCCTGGACGGCTTGATAGTATGTTGTATAAACTAGACATGCAGGACCCACAGGAAAGTGACTACTGAACTTTGCCAAAACAAGGTGGGATGGTCCTTCAGGGTTCCTACTTCACAGAAGAAACTGTCAGAGATTCTACAGGACACAGAGGAAAGTGACTGACAAACTTGCCAATATAGGCAGGACAGTCTTTCAAATTTCTTGCTTCATTGAAAAGTCTGCCAGGTACTATGGGCCTGACGGCTGAAGATGGATGCCCCAACGTTGCAGAGGAATGTTGGGTGACTGTCCAGGCAGCCAAATGTCTCCATTGTTAGATAATATTGCATCCTTCTGGGTCTTAGGTAGAGTTGAAGACTAGATAGTTATAGTTGCAGTTTTCCTTAGATATGAAAGTAAATTAGGTATAAAAATTGGTATTTACTAAGATAGGATAGATTATGGGGTATTTTCTTTAAATTTACCAGACACAAATGAATTAGAATTCAGTACATTGTGAATGTGATCTTTACCTGATAATTGTTTTTATTGTATACAGTTTTACTATGTTAAAGTTAAAACTTTTTGGTTTTGTTTAGAAAAAAAGGGGAGAAATGTTGGGGAATAGTACTTAAAGTGTTACTTTTATTTATGTTGCATTTGTTTAACTCCTTGAAGCTGTGTTACTTTGCCTGTCTAAAATACCTGATGGTCTAATAAAGAGTTGAGTAGTCAATAGCAAGGCAGGAGAAAGGACAGGCAGGGCTGCTGGGCAAAAAGAATTGACAGAAAGAGAAATCTGAGAAGAAAAAGAGGAAGTAGCCAGAGAAGAAGGAGGACCCAGGGGCCAGCCTTCCCAGCTACACAGCAAGCCATGGAATGAGAGTAAGATTTACAAAATAAAAGAACGAGAAAAGCCAAGAGGCAAAATGTAGATGAGATAATTTAAGATAAGTAAATCTGGCTAGCAACAAGCCAAGCTAAGACCAGACATTCATAATTAAAAGAAAAAAAAAAAGAGTGCAGCCCAAGGTTTCACTGAACCAGAGAATGGTTCCCCTTCCCTTGAACAACCTGTGCCCATCATCTCATCTACACACTCTAGAAGCCAAGACTCCCATGTTTATGAATGAGGCCCATACAAAGCATCACATTGAGTGACACTGCAGTATGTGTGCTCACCACGCACATAAATAAACATAATTTTTAAAAATATAAAGGAAATCAAACAAGGAAAACAATATTGATCTGTGGCCTCCTAGCGTGTATGTGTGTGTGTGTGTGTGTGTGTGTGTGTGTGTGTGTGTATAAATATGCAAATGTATACACATGTGCATATATCCACAAGGAGCCATTCAGATGGAGAGGAAGAGCATTGTGTGACTAAGTCCAAGAGAGTCAGTACAAGTGGAAACTGATGCTGAGAGCAGGATGGATTCACGAGAGCGGCACAAGCCCTGGCTGACACCAGCCCCAAAGTTGTGCACAGACTGAGAGCAGGATAGATGAGTCACTCTGTTCTCACCTGCAGACTCACAGCTCCAACTGACCATCGTCAACATCCAAAGCATGTTTTCTCTCTTGAGCTGGAGTGAAACATCTGGAGTCACGATCTGATGCCCTGTGAGGAATATATTTGAAATCAACACAGCAGAGTCCCAAGTCCTAAAAACAAGCATTCCACTGCATCTGCTTCAGGACATCAAACCTATTCTTCCCCAACCTATAATACAAGTCAGTGGAAGATACACATTGTTTGAAAAGCCCCTAAACATACAGACACAGGCTTTAGTATACATTACTTGACAAATGTCTATTTTCATTATCTCCTCTCCCTAGTCTCTCGAACTGTTCTTGGCCATGACCTAGATAGACCACCAGGGTATTTTATGTTTCATTACATTTTTATTTAATATGTGTGTTTGTGTACACCACTGGTGGTCAGAGACAACAGGTGGGATTTGGTTCTCTCCCTCCATCATGTAGGCCCCAGGGATTGAAATGGGGTCATTACCCTTGGGACCAGGTGCTGTTACCAGATGACCACATTATGGCCTCAACTCTACTTTAATTTTTAAAATACTTCTTTTGATTTGTATTGATGTGGATATGTTAGTGTGTGTGCATGAGTGCATGAGTGCAGGTGCCCATGGAGATCAGTAGAGGGCAGCAGATCCTCTGGAGCTGGAGTTACAGGTATTTGTGAGCCACCTAAATCTGGTCTTCTACAAGAGCAGGCAGCACTAACTGATGAGCTCTCTCTCCAGCTGCCTCAACTTACTTCAGTGAAAATAGTGTTTGTAGGCATGACTCAGAGTGTGCCACCACCTACTAATTGAGATTATGATTTGAAAAAGATGAAAACGTACTCCCATGTCTTCAATTTTCACTTCATTTATAAAACTAGGGAGATTCCAACTCTGTATCACATGATGATAAGAAAACTAGAAACTACTTCAAAGGCTCATGTAGTGGGTAGCCCTTCCAGCTTTGGCCTGAAAGTACTACCCCCTTTGAGGCTTCGGTAACTGTCACGCCTACAAGTAAGAGCCGAAAGAGGAAGCCTGAAGACCCAAGATTCAGATGTGCCAGCTCTCTTGGTTCCTGGATCCTGGACACTGGAGTTAGCCCGAGCAGAGTTCTCCAGAGAACACCGCTGAACTGCGCTACACCTTTCCCAGACCCTGTAACCAATCCTTTCGCTTGTAAGTTACCCCATAAAATAAACCTCCCTTTTAACTACGTGGAGTTGCCTTAATATTTAAACCAATATTCTCGGATCACCTTTAGGGCCAAACTGCATGGACCTCTTGTTTAGCACCAGTGTCTGCCCTCACCCAGGGATACCACATTCCTGAAGTTCTCCAACATCACATCACAGTACAGCTTCTTCTGGGCAGCGTCCAGAAGCTCCAGCTCCTCCTCGCTGAAGACCACGGCCACATCCTTGAATGTCACCATCTCCTCTGACACCAAACCCTCAACTTCAACCTTGGTCTTCTACAAGAAGGACAGCTCTGAGAAGTGTGGAAAGATGAGTGGAGAGCAAGTCCTGAGCTAAGAACCCAGGGGCCATGTTTCCACACCACTCACCCGCTTTTTGTTACTGCTCCTTTTGGTTTTGGAGACAAGGTCTTGTTTTGTAGGCTTGGTTGATCAGAAATTGCTGTGTAGACCAAGCTGGCCCTGACCTTGTACTGATCTTCCCACCTCTGCCCCTGCCTCCCAAATGCTGGAATTTCAGGTGTGAACCACCATGCCAGGCATTCATCTGCTTACTCACATAATTGTTAAAAGTTTTGATACTGGAAGATGAAAGGTTGAATCCAGGGCCTCGTGCATGTTAGGCAAGAGCTCTACCACTGAGCCACACCCCCAACCCTGTCCTCATCGCATAGCTGTGCACAGTAGTGTCCCAACCGGAACACTCCTGGCATTATGTGCCAGATACTTCTCGGCTGTGGGGGCTGTCTGGTGCACTGTGGGATGCTCACCATCATCTTGAGCCTCTACCCATTTGTTGCCTGGGGTGAAATCAGCTTTAGAACTATCATGGCCAACGAGGCTGCTTTAATTTTCCATCTGGAAACTGGCCCTGAACATTCAGGATCCCCAGATGAAGCACAGTCATCCCAGATGAGGATCCACTCCAGAGGGAGCCAGGAAAGGGGATCTTTATCTTGCACTCAGCAGGAGAAGGTCCTGCATCCTCAGTCACAAGATCTCTTGGAGTCTGAGGGATGTTGGTGCCTGTGCAGAGACTTCAGCGGTCTGATCTTCGCCCTCCTGACTCTTGAATGCACTGAAGCCAGGGCTGCCTCACAAGGCTGGTCTGAGGAACTAGACTTTTCCATCTGAATGCATTATTCTGCAATTCAGCACATTCACATAGTGAAGCAAACATGAAAAGCAGTTAGTAAACACACCCAGGGTGTGACTCAGCTATGAGAAAGGAAATCCTATCTTTCTCATGTGAAAAAAAAATGAACATCTTCTATGATTAATTAGAATGTGTTGAACAATATATTTTTCTATAAAGAGCAGCCAAAGTATTATATATTAAAAGTATGTTTTAGGGGCTGGAGAGATGGCTCAGTGGTTAAGAGCACTGGCTGCTCTTTCCAGAGGACCTGGGTTCAATTCCTAGCACTACTCACAAGTAATTGTATCTCCAGTTCCAGGAGATCCAACACCCTTTTTGGCCTCTGTGGGTTCAGCACACATGGAGCACAGACTTATATGCAGGCAGAACACTCATACAAATAAAATATTTTAATGTGTTTTAATTTAGTATTTCTAAACAACAGGAACAGTAGTAAAATTTCCTTGCATTTCTTCTGGAGGAAAAGGTTAATTTATACAAATATTACTAAAACATTTCTTTTTTTTTTTTTTTTTTTGGTTTTTTCGAGACAGGGTTTCTCTGAGTAGTTTTGTGCCTTTCCTGGAGCTCACTTGGTAGCCCAGGCTGGCCTCGAACTCACAGCGATCCGCCTGGCTCTGCCTCCCGAGTGCTGGGATTAAAGGCGTGCGCCACCACCGCCCGGCCTAAAACATTTCTTAAGACATCAAAACTGCTAAACTATTTAAATATCTATGGGTAGACAAAAGACATCTGTCACATGTACCTCTTGTATGACTGATGATGTGGATTTCTGGAATCATGATGTCAATAAAACCATGGATAAAAGCGGTTATGACAGTACATGCCTGAAATCTCAGCACTGAAGGTCAAGCAGGGGAAGTGAGACTTTGAGACCAGACTTAGCTACACAGTAAGACTCAGTCTGTTAAATTAAAAAAGAAAAAAAGGACTTGGGATGTGGCTCAGTGGTAGAGCCTCTGCCTAGAATCCCCCAGTGAGGGGCTGGGATGTGGCTCAGTGGTAGAGCCCCTGCCTAGAATTCCCCAGTGAGGGACTAGGGGTGTGGCTCAGTGGTAGAGCCCCTGCCTAGAATCCCCCAGTGAGGGGCTGGGGGTGTGGCTCAGTGGTAGAGCCCCTGCCTAGAATACCCCAGTGAGGGGCTGGGGGTGTGGCTCAGTGGTAGAGCCCCTGCCTAGAACCCCCCAGTGAGGGGCTGGAGTGTGGCTCAGTGGTAGAGCCCCTGCCTAGAATCCCCCAGTGAGGGACTGGGGGTGTGGCTCAGTGGTAGAGCCCCTGCCTAGCACAGGGAAGGCCCTGTAATTAATTTCCAGCACTGGGAAAATGAATTAAGGTGTACATCACTTGAAAAGGTATTATTTTAAACATTAATCTAGACTACTATTACAAATGAAAAAAGACTACAATTGCCATGAAAAAAAGAAGAAAGGAAATTGGATGTTTTACAAACAAAATGACAGAAAATGTGAATGTATTCAACAATACTCACTTTCCCATACTGTGCTCAATTCTTATTTCAAGGTGAGTGTTAGATTCACTTTTATGTGTATGTTTTGCTTGCATGTATGGTTCTGCACCACATGTATACTTGGTGTCCATGGAGGGCAGAAGAGAATGTCCGATCCCCCGGAACAACACTTGCTCTCCTGTCAGGACCCAGGTTGGGTTCCCAGCACCCACACGGATGCTCACATTCATCCCTAACTCCAGTTTCAGGGGATCCTATGCCTTCCTCTGAGCACGGTGCCAGACATACCTGCAAGTAACACACTCCCACACAGAAAGCTAAAAATGAAAAAAAAAAAAAGGGGGGGGGGGGTGGGAAAATGGTTCAGCACTTAAGAGCACATGTTGCTCTTGCAGAGGGTGAGTTTGGTTCCCAGCACCCACACTGGGTGGCTCACAGTCACCTGTAACTCGAGCTGTGGAGTCTCCATAACCTGTGGCCTTCATGGACCCCTGGTATACACTGACAGGAGTGTGTATGTGTGTGTGTGTGTGTGTGTGTGTGTGTGTGTGTGTATGTGTGAATGTTTGTCTGTGCAGGGATGGGTGTGGGTATATACACATACTCATAATTAAAAAAATAAGTCTTTGACAATTAAAAAGTCCCTAAACAGACGGAATGGTGGGATAAAGCAAGGTGTGGTAGCACACACCCTAATTCCAGTTCTGAGGTGGCGACTGAAGGAAGAGCCTAGTGGGTTCTAAACCATCCAGGCTACAGATTGAGAGCCTATCTCTAATAAATAAATACATAAATGAAAATTGCCACAACATTCTCTGACACAAGAAGATGCACCCACATACAGGGTGACAGACATCCGTGGTCACGTGAACACTGCCCGTACCAAGAACTATACAAACACACAGTATGTGTGGCCCCAAAGATACCAAGATACCACGTACAACACACCTATGTCAACAGCACCCTAAATACATGGGTGTGTTTGTGTGCACACGCGTGCATTTTTTATACTCTACAATTGATCCTAAAACCAAATGTGTATCCTCCTAGCATCCCCTTTTGCACAAGGGGAAACTAAGGCACAGAAAGGTTCTTACTCAGTGACAGGGTGTGAGAAAGGTGAGGGAGGGTGAGCTAGACTTCCCGGAGCTGAGGAGTTCCCCCAAAAGCTGCCAAGTCCAGCTCTTCCTTGGGACGGAAACCCGAGTACTGTAGCTAAACTTTCCCCCAAATCAGAAGTCAGCGGCTTGGTGTCCCGCAACATCAGCAACGATGTCTCATTTTGGTGACCCGGAAGAGGTCCTCACCTATCCCGTTATCAGGTCGTGGAAGTCAAAAGAGGTCGGGACGTCCTCAAGTCCAGCTCCACCTGCTTACCTTCCTTGCAGGAACGCAATCACAGGATCGGCAACCTCAAACTACAAGTCCCAGGATTCCTGGGGGCCGGAGCCCGGGGACTGAGTTTGCGCAGGCGCACTATGCCTGAGTGGCATTTCCTAGAGTCCTCAGTTGAATTGCAGCCGAAATCTCTCCAAACATGCGGATTATACTTTAGTTCTTCCATAGAACATTGCCAAAGTCAAGTGTTCCCGTAGAAGTGCTCTGACCACAGAAGCGTCTGGACTACATATCCCAAAATTCTCTGTAAAGCTTTTCCCCCACCAGCTTAGAATTTTTCTTTCACTAAACAGGTGGAACTGGCTTTGTGGGCGCATTTGTTGTTATACCGACCCACAGTCCGATGTCCGAAAATCCACCAAGATACCGATCCGAATGCAAAAGCAAAGAGTCTTTAAATCGCGAGTTAAAATTGCCTCCCGCTCCCCTCCCCCCACACATCTGTCGCCCCAGTGGAGTGAGGACCCCAGGCAGTAACAGGACAGGATTTTATAGTGGTTAGGATGGGGGGGAGGGCGTCTAGGGGAATTTCGACTCTATATGGTTACAAGCTCAGGGTTGGGGCGTACTTCAGGTTAGAGAGCTTGGTTGAGCTGATTGGAGAGTTGCAGCTGCTATAACCTTCAGCAGTTAATGTCATCACATCTGTATCACCAGCGGACCCATTTCCTCTGACAGCTATGGTATGCAATCTATAACAGGGGAAAACATCCCACAGGACATACCTGGTGCCTTGTTTAGTATGCTCTTCGTGCGATATCATATCCTTTACGTTATGGCAGGACATGTCTGGAACTTGTTTTTGCACAGCTCCTAATTGTCTGGGTCTAGGGGCGGAGGCGCAGCACATGCTCTGGTTTTGTTTTGTTTTCTGGAGTAGTTTGTCCCAGGGCCTGCTGCCCCCTGTCTGACCCTTCTGTAAGAGGGCTGCAACCCTGGCATCCTCTCTCTGTCTTTCAGTACTCAGGAGTGAAAAGTCTCAACGTAACAAGCCAATCAAGCCAATTAATAAATCCAGGTTTAATTTGAGCAGAGCAGAGCAATTCCTGCTCTGGAAATCCTAGGAAAGCAGGGGAGAGAGCATGGGGCAGATATTCCTGTTGTGCCCAGAGTCCAGACCCCCAAAATCCACCAAGAAACCAAACTGATGAAATAGTGAAGAGTCCTTTAATTGGGAGTTCAAACCCGGGTCTCTCGTCTGTTCTACACAGTGGTGGAGCAGAAGAGACCTCGAGCAGCTGAAGGGCAGGGTATTTATAGAGGGTAAAGCAAGGGCCGGGGTGGCTAGGCGTCTACAGACTGCATAGGAACAGACTCTCAGGACTGGTGTGCCTCCAAGCTGGAGGTGCCTGTCCCTGGCTAATTGGTTAGTTACAGCTGCACGAAAGTTGCTATCTCTTGCGGTGGTTGCTGTGGTTACTACATTCCATCTTTATCATGAAAGCCTGTCCAGAGCTGCTAGTTTAACTTTTTTTTTAACCATCAAAAAATGTGTTTAATTAATTGACAACAGAGAAAGCTGGTCAAAGAAAGGCAAGCAAATTTTGTCGAGTAAGAATTAGAACCGAGGAGCTCCATAATCAACTGGCATCCGTTCAGTGTTGTACCTACAGTTAGAAATGTGCATGATAGGAACTCCAGAGATCTTTCAGAATCTTCTTTGTTTGAGGTCCCGATCAACTGTGGCCACAATGTAACTAACACCTGTGCTGAGTGACTCTCTGGACCAAGCAGTCATCTGCATAGGTTCCTTTGTGTGTGCATGGAAGTCGGTCAAATCCTGGATCCTTGGCGATCCTTAGTGCCACTCGATACTTCTGTCCCAATTTCTCAACTTCAGCCATCACACAGTCAGTTATGCAAGGGACACACTTGGCGTACAGGCAGTCCATCACTGACTGCACTAAGTCCAGTTTGGCTTTAATGGAAAAGGTGATGAAGCTGGTATCAACGAGGATGTGCTAAGGTGGACCCAGTTGGGCATTCTACTGGAAGAATAAGCAGGAAGGATGCTGGGGAACTTCTCTTTCCTCCAGCACACTGGGATCTTTCTTTTCTTTCCTTTTAGGCTGTAATCTATCCTTTTCTTTAAGTCTCTCATCTCTGAGACTAAGCATTCACTTCATAGTCGCATATTTCCTTGTTTTCTTCTGCTTCCCCATGTTCATGCCGCACTCTTGTTTCTTCCGGAATCACTCACCTCTAGTTTAACTTTTAATTGGTCCTTTACCATATGGG